GGGACACAGGGCCCCTTGAGGGCCTTTCGGGCCCTGATTTGAAGACCCTCATACAGCATCTTCCGAAACGGAGAGGGCGCGAAAATGGTGGCATACGAAAGAGGAGGACGGGCACGTTCCGTTGATGAAAACCGCACAAGAAGAGACCCATCCATTGCTGAGATAAGACAACTTGAAGATGACAAAATCTGGGAAATCGCCATGAAAGTGCTTGCAGCCATGTCGCGCAGTGTGAAACGGTTGTATGAAGGACTAGAATTGAATCATAGGTACTTAATCGAACTTCAGATAGTGAAAACTGGATCATCAGAGCTATATTCATTGTTTTTTGTGCGATCGAAAACAGCTAATTCACAAAATTTGCTTTTTTCTGCCGGGCGAGTTTGTCACGCGTTCTAAATGCTCACTGGCATGTACCGGCGTACCGCCAGTCCCTGGCAGCGGTACAACTCCAGCCGCTGGCAGGCATGCTGGTCGCTGGGCCAGAAAGGTTTCGTCACGATCGATGGTCGCAAGTTCACAGCTGTACATGTGAGCATCGCGAAGTCCTCTCTTCCCTGCCAGAACGCTTCGCGAAGACAGAGGCATCCACAAGCTCGCCCTTAAGCGTGTATTGGCATGATCTCCGATACAGCATGTTGCGAACCATTCAGGCTTAGAAAGCTGTTTGTACTATACGAACCTCTTGCTCGCAGCTTCCTTCGCGCCCTGGCGGCTTCCGGGGGCCTACACCGCGCGTGCAGCCATGGTGCCGGGAATACCCGGCGCTGGTGCCTGGAACTTGGATACCGGCGCTGGTGCCTGGAATACCCGGCGCTGGTGCCTGGAATACCCGGCGCTGGTGCCTGGCTGGTGCCTGGAATACCCGGCGATGGTGCCTGGCTCAGCTGGTGCCTGGAATACCCGTCGCTGCCTGGAATATGATACCCGTCGCTGCCTGGAACTTATGATACCCGTCGCTGCCTGGAATATGATACCCGTCGCTGCCTGGAACTTATGATACCCGTCGCTGCCTGGAACTTATGATACCCGTCGCTGCCTGGAACTTATGATACCCGTCGCTGCCTGGAACTTATGATACCCGTCGCTGCCTGGAACATGATACCCGTCGCTGCCTGGAACTTATGATACCCGTCGCTGCCTGGAATACCTGGCGCCACAGGAAGGGAAGGGACAAGGACTTAGCGCAACAAATGGACAGGTAGACGGTTACACGGAAACCGCCAAGCCTGGAAACAACGAAACAGCGATCGAATCCTGGATGCCAAAAATGGCGATCCAAGAAGGGCCGCTCTGCCAAGCGTGAGAACCCTTTAGACTAGAATAGGCCGGGAAGGTACCCGATACGACTTATCTAGCATTCTAATAAAATCGACTACTACTACCACAACTGGCGCCAGAAACCCTAAACCCTAACTAAACTAGAAACCCTAAAACCTAGAAACCCTAAACCATTGATTTCATGCAAAATGCGAAGCACTGTGACGCGGATAAGAAGGATGACGATGATAATGACGATGACGATGACATCTCCCATATTTTCCTTCTCTCCATCTTTGCATAAGCATCTGTCTTCCACTTCAACTCTTTCTTGTTCTCAAAGATCTTGCTTCTTGCCCGCGAGATGCTTCCTAGGTCGGGATGACAGGACCAGAAGAAGGACGCGTAACCTCATTATCGCAAATCTCCGTGAGCCTCCTGAAAGAAGCCTAGAAGATGATGGAGGAATCGTGAAGGCTCTGTCGATGGAAGATGAGGGAAGGTATGAAGAAGCATTGAATCAGATTGCCGACATTTTGAAAACCGATCCTAGAGACGCGGCGAGTCACTTTCATGCAGCTAGAATCTCCTCCTTGCTCACACAGAGGGATCCAAGCTATCGCCAAAAAGCGCTCCTGCACTTCAGCATAGCCATGTCACTGAGACCGGATTGGGCGCAGTGGGACGGGAAGTTTGTGACTTCAACGGGGATCAACGATGCTCTTCGAGATTTCTCATCGAAAGTCGACGAGAAGGAAGAGAACAAATCAGTAAGAGACGCTATAGTCCTGCGAGACCTCTTGGCAAGCATCGGGTACACAGCAGCAAACGTACAACAGAGATTCGGGCTTGCTGGAGCAAAAACAGCGGGGCCTTTTTACTTGCGGCGGAGGTTCGACCATCGACATGCACATCTGCTTGGCATGCAGACATCGCCGCGAGACGAGCTAGACGTCATCATCCGCATGCTCCTCCTTGGCCTCTCTCTTCCAGTGGAGCAGGTGCAAGAGCTTCTTGGCGATCAAGTTCTCTCCGCCATGACGAGGTTGTCGCTCGTCGGCCCCTCTCCCGCTATCCCAGGACTGTTAGTACCTCATGTACAGATTTTTCCTGTCGACCCCTCTGCTCTGCTACGAGGAGAGAGCTCAGATGAGAGCATGGGACTGCTGATGGTGACAGATCTCATGCCTCCATGCTCTGCCGCGCTGGAAGAAGAGCCAGTCATGTACATCGGGCCCGACTCCCTCGGTCTAGTTCATCATGCTCCTCGCAGGGAAGAGGAGGCAGTGCTCGATCTGTGTTGCGGGAGTGGGATCCAAGGGATTGCAGCAGCGAAACTGTACGGCAAGCAGGTGACGTGTGTTGACATTAATGAACGGGCCGTTCGGTTTGCGAGGTTCAATGCGATGATCAACGGAGTTGCGTCACGGGTGAAGGTCTTGCAGGGTGATCTCTATGACTTTCACGAGAAGATGGGACATGAGATGGGTAAGTGTAGATGCTCAAAAGAAAATGTGATGTGACTGATGTGAGGAAAAGATTCGTCCGTTCTCACCAGTCGTGATGCAGGCTCTGAAAGTGAGGTTGTGATGTCGCAGAGAAGGTTTAACGTCATCTTGTCGAATCCTCCCTTCGTTCCTGTTCCTTTTGATCTTAAAAAGCGGGTCAAGCGATATAACGTCTTTGCAGACGGTCGGAATGAGAACACGAGAGTGAAACAGATTCGGTTGATTCTTGTTGCAGGAGGAGAAGATGGAGAAGCAGTGCTCAAAAGGATCATTACCGGGGCAAGCCGCCACCTGGCTGCTGGAGGGAGAGTAGCGATTGTAACGGAGATCTTTTGTGCTCACCTCCTTCCAGAGAGGATGAAAAGGTGATGGGCGAGTGCGGTTGACCTCCACTCACAGACGAGCAGGTGGCTGATCGAATCGTCTCCCCTTAGCGAAAGCCGTGGAAGACGAAGATGGAGGTGCTTAGTACACGTAGACAAGGAGGAGAATATGTACACGGTGAGAAGAGAAGGATTGAGCTAAGCAACCTGTTGAAGATTTCACTAGCCTGCGACATACAGCGAAGCCCGAGCTGGAAACAAAGTTGAAAGGTGAGAAGGCAAAACTAGCAAAGTACAAAGAGAAAGAGAAAGAAGCAAGAGTAACATGAATCAAAATGCGACGGAGAAGGAGGAGGAGGAGGAGGAGGAGGAGGAGGAGGAGAAACAGGAAAGGAATGGGCAAAGGCTACGCGAGTGAAGATTAAAATTTTGACATTGACTTCAGATTAGAATGGGAAGAGCACCTGAAGAAGATGCGAATAGAAACGGTTGGGAGGGGATACATCTTCCTCAAGGTATGCCGCTGCCTTCGACCAGGCGTATATGATCTCTTATGTGATCTCATATATGATCTCATATGTGATCTCTCTTATGTGATCTCTTATGTGATCTCATATGTGATCTCTCTTATGTGATCTCTCTTATGTGATCCCTTATGTGATCCCTTATGTGATCTCTCTTATGTGATCTCATATGTGATCTCTTATGTGATCTCTTATGTGATCCCTTATGTGATCTCTCTTATGTGATCTCATATGTGATCTCTTATGTGATCTCATATGTGATCTCTTATGTGATCTCTTATGTGATCCCTTATGTGATCTCTCTTATGTGATCTCATATGTGATCTCTTATGTGATCTCATATGTGATCTCTTATGTGATCTCATATGTGATCTCTTATGTGATCTCATATGTGATCTCTCTTATGTGATCTCATATGTGATCTCTCTTATGTGATCTCATATGTGATCTCATATGTGATCTCTTATGTGATCTCTTATGTGATCTTTTATACACACAGGCTGATCCTGATGAACGCGAGGAGGGGGGGGAGGAAGAGGAGGGAATGGGAGATGGAATCTTTCTCTCGTTCTCCAAAAGCGGGAAAAGCGTCTGGTCTCCATTAAATTTGCAGTCAGTGACCGAGACGAAAAGTCAACTGGAGAGTTTGAGAATGATATGAAGGCTAGATTGACGGCTAGACATTGCTTTAAGAATATCAAAAGAGATACGAAAACAAGAAAAAAGACCGAACGAGAAGGAAAGTAGATTGTGAAGAAGTAGATTGTGAAGGAAAGTAGATTGTGAAGAGGAGCTATGCCAATCTCCACACGTTTTGCTTTGATTTGACTGGTCTCGATCGTCCCTTCCTGTGCAGAGGTAAACAGCAACGACTCTGTTCGGTGAGAGCTGCAATTGGCCTTGTGATTTTATGAGGGCAAGGAGGCGTTCATCAAGAGAGCTTTATTGAAAAGAATTCCCAGTACTCTTTTGAAAAGATCTCCCTTTCACTCTTTGCTGGCAAGTTCGAGGTGGCCTGGTCAAGTACAAGAAGGTTGTAGCGTACGAAAGCCGACAGACATACCCTGAGTACCTGGTGGAGTTCAAGCGCGTCTGAACTGCTGTACGGCACCATGACAAGCCCATCGATGTGAATGAAAAGAATACAACTAGAATGAGATGCTCACAGGTATACGAAATACATTACTGTTTACCCGCTGATGAGAGGAAGAACAGAACAAGTCATCTATCAGTACGCTTGGTTTAGATCTAAACTGCGCGATCCTAAACTGATAACCTAAACGATTTTCATTTCGATTTTTTAAAAAACGATTGAATGCGAGAATTGGGGTCCAAGGGAGCGAGCGACGGCATGGCGGCTGATCAGACCCCCAACCTCTCCCCGTCCTCCTCTCCTAGCAGCCTCTCGCCCATCACAGCTAAGACTCTCTTTCACGAGGCCTCCTCCCACTACAACCCCTTCGACGACTCAGACCTGGAAGGAAGCACCCTAGCAAGAGAGGCAGCAACAGAAGAGCAAGCCGGGACCGAAGATCTCTATGCCAAATGCCTTGACGAGACTGTTCTCTTCTCCTCCCCGTCCATTGAAGAGGAAGGAAGTGACGCGATAATGCAGCGATGCGTCAAGCTGCCTCTCCCCAAACGAGCTGTTGTTTGTGCTGTTATCAATCACGCGTTCCAACACAAGTGGCCCCACAAGAAGGTTGTCAAGGTTTGTCGATCTTACCGGCCACTCTTTCCTGATCCAGCGTCAGGTATTGGCAAAGATCACTCCTCAGGTCATAAGCGACATGTGGAACTCAGCTGAAAACTCCTCTGGGTCTGGACTCTTTCCCGACCAACCGCCTGAGCCAACAGCGCAAGGAGAAGAGGAGGAAGCTGCTGGTTTGTGTCAAATTTCTTACATCAACAAGACTCAAACCTGACATGAGGTAATGCAGGTGAGCATTCGACAGATGGATGGATCGTGAAGCCCGTCTCAAGCTCAATAGACTCAGACAGTATTGGAGGACACGTGAGAAAGAGAACGTGAAATTTGTAGCTTGATGTAGACTGCTCGCAGCTATGTGAAAGACTCAAGGGCGACTTATCTGAAGATGATGAGAACGTCATAAGATCATGATGCATCTCCTGCAGGCCCTGACTTGTCAACTCGTAGGATCCAAGTAGCAGGGGACCGGAAAGAAGCATGCTTGAGGACGAGATGACCAACCATACGATCATCGGAGACGCAGGTCGAGCGATCATGGAAGACGTAGGTGGACAAGCTGACATGCCTCCCTGCATGGACGACAAGAGGCCAGCTCAAGCATTCACAAGGAACAGAAGAAATCACTTGCATGATACGTGAGCCCTCTTGTCTTCTCGCTCACTCTGAATCTTGTTCTCTTACTCCTTACGATCTTCACAAAGCTGGGAAAAATTACCTGCCAGTCTGTCTGGATGCCTCACCTCTTTAACAAGACTTCAAGCGGTGATGCTAGGAGACTTGAAATCCTTCTTCCTCGCCCTCCCTGTCCCGCTCTTGAAATCTTTCTTCCTCGCCTCCCTGTCCCGCTCTTGAGATCTTTCTTCCTCGCCTCCCTGTCCCGCTCTTGAAATCCTTCTTCCTCGCCCTCCCTGTCCCGCTCTCTGCTCACCCATTGACTGCAGTCATTGAAGGAAGTCATGAATCAGCGAGAAGCTCGCGTGCGTACTCTGATACCAAACTGCCAGAGTCTCTAACAAGAGTTGCGGCAGCTTGAGGCTTTGCGAGCGATCAGGCTAGCAGGAAAAGAGTAAGCAACAAGAATCGATGCAAGTGACCTTCTTACTTGTGACGCAGGAGCAGCTCATCGCCCCGGAGCGGCTCCATCCAAGTTCTTAGTTCCAGCTGTAATTGAACTCATGATAAGGTATACACATTAACAGGAAACAGCAACTTCTTCTTGCAACGACATGCTCCACCCCTCCTCCCTGCCGACACAACCCCCGAAGGAGGGAGAGCAAACGACAACATCCAGGGCTTCAGTGTCTGCGATGGACCGGAAAGGCTCGGAGTTTGCCTGGGAGAGTCGATGCCAGTCACTCGAGGTAGAGGAGGCTGTTATCAGCCGTCGGTTTGACATGCGTCAAGGCGGATCATGATCGTATGCTCAACTTCTCTTCCCGTCTCTCGGTCGCCGCACAAGCAGCAAGCAAGTCCCTGCATCAAGTCGCCCGCTGCTCCTCCTCCTCCTAGCACTGACATTCCTGCAGGCATCTGGGCGGCTTTTGCAAGCAGCCGTCTTGTGCCAGTCAATCGCGGGTGAAGGTTGTGACATGCTGCTTACCGTTGCTGAAAGTCAGGCAGAACGTGAAAGCGAGATACTCGCACAGGGATGATTATGATCGTAGTTCACCAGCGAGGAAGAGGAGGAGGAGGAGGAGGAGGAGGAGGAGAGATTCGGTTTCATTTACTTATCATAACAATACTCAAACTACAAGTCATCATCAGGCTCCTGCGCACGGTACTTGTGGGACCTGTGGGAGTATGAGGTGATTGTCCGACGGTGAAGCAGCAGCTCTTACCTAGAGACGTTCTCGTCGTTGAAATCACCTCCTTCAAGCCCATCGAGCTCTCCTTTCATAACCTCTTCAGCAAGTTCTCGCCGTATCTTCCTGTACCTGCATGATCGTTTCAAACAAGGACTGAAGGTCAGTGGGAGACGGAGAGACGAAGAGGCAGGCAGGAGTGACGTACAGGTAGAAGCTGCCGATTAAGTTCATGAGGATGGCCATGAAGGAAATTGTGCAAGTCACGCCGAGCAAGCTGAGGTTGTTCCACACAAGGAGACCAGCTTTCTGCAGGAGAGGATCAGAGATGTTAGAGAAGGAGAACAGCTTTCACCTTCTGACAGCAACCTTCGAAGTCGGATTGGCTGGCAGATAGTCAACATTCAAGGACACAAGAAAGGAAAGTAGAAGAAGAACCTCATCTCCTTGCAACAATAGACCGTGTCTTTTACAGCCAGCGAGATGATCGTGCCATTGATGACGATGAGAGAGGAATTGTCGGGAGGTTTGGTGCAGTACTTGGGGAGAGGAGAATCAGGAGCAACACAACACTCCGGACACACGTCAACAAATCGAGTCTTGATAGCTGAGACCATCGTCAGCGGTTGCTAGGAAGGGCGGAGCAGGATCACAATAGAGTTGGCTTGAGAGCAGATTTGACGCATCCTTGGCATCCACCAGACAGAAGATCCCAAAAGAAAAGAAGATGATGGAGATCACAGACAAACAGATCCCGTTGAGCAGCAGCAAGCTCTGCCAGCAAGTCACCACCATCCACTCAAACTCTCCATTGCCACACACCGATTTCAATCTTAAAGCAGCGTATCCGCCAATGATGGCAAAGAACATGAGAAGGACGCCAAAGGTACCGACCACGGAAGGAAGCCAACTGTTCTTCACCCCAACTTCCTTCGTCGAGGGCATAAATGCGATGATGACAGTTGCTGTGCCTGTGCAGCAGGCAAGTCACTATCGAGAAGTAGCAGCCAGGATTAGATACCGATAACAAACCCGGTCAGGTTGATGAAGACGACCGTCTTCCGAGCCGTGTACTTGTATCCCATCAGCATCGCGCTACAATGTGCGCAGAGGAGATTCAAGAAGATGGAGAGCAGACAGAACCCTCCAGCTGCAGCTGCGCTCTTTTTCATAGCGTTTCCTAAGGATTTCGGATCCCACGATGTTCCCTCAAGGATCTGCTGGAGAACATCCCACTGCAAGCGCACGTTAGCGTAGTCTTCATCCTTCACATCCCTTACGTATGAAGTGGTGTACTCTGCTGCCTTCTCGCTCCAGATAAAGCAAAGCAGGGCACCATAGAGCAAGCACGCGGAGATAATCATGATAATGGTGAAGTAAACCATCAAAATCCTGTTAGAATATTTCTTCCAGTTCTTCATCTCTATTGGATTTCCTTCTTCATCCAGCTTTGGTGGTCTATCGCGCTGCTCAGGTACCCATAAGATTGTTAAATGATCTCACCTTGCACAGCATGATCCGATCAAGCCAAAAAGTGAGACAACAAGCGTCAAGGTGCCCATGGAGATGACAAGCGCGAAAGCATTGGTGACATGTCCTACTGTCTTCTCTTTACCCATCCGGATATAGCCTGCCAGTGCAGATCAACGAACCGCGTACATCCATGCGTCTGCCCTACCCACGGTACCGTAGAAAATGAGGACGCATCCAAAGATAAGGGTCAAGCCATTTACAATGAAGAGAGCAAGTCGCGATCCCAGAATCTCACAGGCCATGGTTCGCAAATGTACGTCGTGCTGAAGCGATTGCGTGGAGAAGGGGGAAATGGACTAAACAATTCAAGAACAAGGGGAAAAGCAAATGCTGGAGTGGAGAGGAGGAGAGAGGAAAAGAGCAGCGGAGAGGAGAGAGGAGAGAAGGGGAGGTGTATCAGGAAGTGGCGAGTCGCCTCTAGAACGCGAGCATTACTGCCACCATTTCTTATCTCGCAGTTGTAAGAAGAGACACAACAGCACAAGAAGTTACAAAAAAACACTACCAATATATTTACTTAATAATATTTATGGTACAATTTTAGAGGTCCCGAACAGCATATCAGGTACAAGACTTTGCTCCATATAACTCTTGATTAGTTATCTATCTGTACCATATATAATAGTAATAATACATCAGCCAGGTGGTGATTGTCGGACTCGCTCGTACTGCGATATTTAAAATTAGCTTAACTTTGAGTAAACTTGAAGTCCATTGGAGACCCGGTACTGTCCGGGGCGGCGACGCCGCGGGCCCGGCCCGCCCGAACAAGCAGCTGCTTCGGAGAATGTAGTCATTACGGCAGTCTCCTCGCTGTCTAATTTGTTGCTGTGCCTGCGCAGTAGGCAAGTCATCGGTGACCGTATCGAGACTGAGTTGAAACTTCGCCCAGGCCATTATGCAGGCCCAGATCCCTCAACGGTCCGCACTCGCGGCACCATCAGCTAGCCTGTGAAAGAGCCGCTGAAGTTACCAGCCGCTGTGGACTGCCCTCAACTTGACACCGGGTGACTGCGGCTGGTCCGTCGAGGGCCTCAGGGCCTCCAGTCTTCAAGGCTTGACCGCACGGTCCGATACGGTCCGATCACTCGGACGTTGCCACACACCGCTTTAGTAGTCACTCTGGAGTACCGTTCGAAGTTCCGCTTTACCGGGCCGGTACCTTTGCTTTTTCAAGCCTCGGAGTCCCGGAGCCGCTGTTCAACTTTCAAGCCGCCCGCGGCCGGTTTTTTCTTCATTCAATCTGATCATTGCGGCTCTTGCGGCACGAGCTATCATTGAGGATGGGAGTTGATCGGCCGGGCGAGAATCCGCGACTCGGATGATCATGCGGATGGCATCAGTCGCGGCAGTGCTGACTCCGAGCTGAGCTCCCGAGTCCGCCGCCGAGAGTCACCGGCATGCCATGTGAACTTCGGAACGCACTGCAGGCGCGGGTAACTAATCATTTCAAGTACTTAAATTAACTAAAGACTTGCTGAGGGTACAAACGATTCCACTGGCCCGAATCTACCGAGGGGGTTAAAGATTTTTGTGGGGGTAGGGTAGTATGATTAGGGGGTCCGGTCCTGAGGGTAGTAGGGAGAGTCACCTCTCCTAGAAGCGAGGCAATTATTAATGCTAGGAGGGTCGGGTGCTTCAGTACCGGTTAGAGCATAGAGTGTATCGATGGTACTCAGGTGGGGTAGTCAAGACAGGTCATGGAGGGGGGTAGGGATCTATGTAGGTGCAGGGTAGGGGTAGTGGGAAGGGAAGAGGAACATGCAGAGAAAGCGATCGGTTGTCTGAGGATGATAGGATAAGAAAGAGCGGCAGGAGATGGGAATGAAGATGATAGTTATGCACAATTCTTCAAAGGCCTCAAGTACAGCTCAACTAGCGCTGAATTATGTACGCAGAATGCAGATTGAGGATCCAGTCTTGCATTACTAACCGAATCTGAGAAACCAGGAGCGGCAAGTGAGCGTTGACTTTACTTGTTGTATGTTGCAATTAATCAAGGGATGAGAAATGATGCCATGACGACGAAGATGATTATGATCGTCATGGTGATCAATTTGAGCTACGCCAATGGCAGCAGCGAGAGTGACACAACAGCATAGGTTCATGATGCATGGTGAAATTTAACAGCAACGCAGTGACAATAGATGATTAGGTGATTAGAACAAGATGAAGAGGTCTGTATGAGGTCTTGAGGTGATGAGAAAGAGAATGAATCAGCAAAGGTAAATGAGAAGTAAAGAAGGTACTTAGGATTTAGGGTTTAGGGAAGGTGAAGAGTGACTTGAGAGAAAGACACTCTGAATGGAGTGACCATCTGATCCATGTGCGTTTCAACAGTCGATTAAACGCGAAGAATGTCAGCTGCCTCTCCCAAGAACCTGCCATCAGGTCAGGGTATTACGGCAGAGAACCTTCGCGAGTTTCTTCATGTGATGGAAAAGTTGTCGAGTTGGCAAAGCTAACAACCTTGGCGCAGTTGCCAGTGAAAGAAGTTGCCAAGCAGTTTGGCATATGTCTTTCTTCGTTGAAAAAAGTCTGTCGTCAGCATGGGATTATCCGTTGGCCATATCGTCGGATGCAGATGATAGAAAAGGTGAAGGTGTATTTGAACATTGGGAATCCTCACTACCTGTAGAAAATCAAACTTCTAGAGCTCAAGAGCCCTGAAGACAGTCAAGATCGCATGAAAGCTCTCCAAGAGCTGAAGAAACTGCAGAGAGAGCGAGAGGAGTTACCTCACACCTATGGTAAAACTAAGGCCCTTGCCCTCGCCCGCTGACCTTAAGCCACAACAGGATCTCCTCATTCCAAGTCTTCTTTCTCCACTCCCGAACACTCTCCTAGGAAGTCACTCTGCCCATCGAAATTGGCTGGCGATGTGCTTGAGGAATGTCCGACCGCTCCATGTCGAGCTGTGCATGAGCTCCCAAGGGAAGGACTTGCCAAGGATGCTGGTGCGACATACGTGTCTATGATCGCAGAAGACCTGCACGCGTCGAATGATGCAAGCAGAAAGAGTCAAACCCTTAGGGATGTTGCGAGCGAGCGCAGAGAAACTCGACCAGCGAACTCAGGGCACACACAGAGCGACGAGGATCGGACAGTCAAACTTGAGCTGTCGCTGCCTCCAGAGATCGCAGCACAGCTATCAGCAGGGGCGCAGATCGTGTTTCATCAGGAGAATGGCCACACAAAGGTTGAAATCCTTTCATTCGGGAAGAAGGACAAGTTGGAGCGGCAGAGTGTGAAGGCGCAGCATCAGATTGCAGACAAGGCGCCGCAAGCTCCTGCACGGCCCTCGAAGATATCCGACGATGACATGATTGACTCTCTCGTACAGTGTGCCAAAAGTCACGACGGCGATGCGGCTGCGCAGCAAAACTTCGGCTCGACGTCTAAAGCGTCTCGATCGAGCGACCCGATGCCCATCTCCGACCTCGACGACGCGCTCGTGCAAGCGCTGGCAGCTGACGCGTGCTCGGAGACGAAGCCGCATGCTCGATCATCTGCCTGCAGTGACGCCGACCTTGTGGCTGCTCTAGCAGGATGCGTCAATAGTAGCGAGAAGGAGGCGGACGCGCATCCTTGCTCGAGGCCCAACTCTCCCTTCACTTGCATGGTGGAGTGGTTCGACAATGCCCACGAGGACATCGGGCACCTGCATCACAGCTATCTGGATGACGATGGCATACTAGAGCCTTTGATGTGAGGGCAAGGACACGGCAAGTGAGAGGAGCCTTGTAAATTCTATCATCTCAAAATGAATCGCTACACATGAGAATTCGTTGGTCCAGTCATGTTCGTGCGCCTCTGCCACCTTGGTTGTGAGCAGTAAGTCAAGGATAAGCAGCCAGTCAACGATAAGCAGCCAGACACTTGTTCGCCTCTCTCCTGACTGCAGCTTCTTCTGACCCAAACACTCATCAGTCGCAAGGATCCGAGGAAAAAGTTAAAGGGGAATCATCTCGACATTGTCTCAGGTCTTCCGGTTCATTCAGAGTCTTTCAATAACAGCTTCCAACTCCGCCGTTGAGTAGATCTTGAACTTTGCATCACTTGATCGCACAGACGCGAGCTCGACGTTCTTGTTGTCCAGCTTCTCTTCCATCACCTGCCACGTTTCTTTTAGGCATGAAAAAAAATACACTTTCTTCACACAACGACCTGCTTTAATGTCGACAGTGCAAGCACTTCAGCCTCGGCAAGTGTCATGGAGCTGCTGTAAGACTCTTGCAAGGCCGTTTGAGCTCCTTCGCTGCCCGCACCAATCGCTTTCGCCTCGTACTTTACAAAAGTTCCTGACGGGTCCGTGTGGAACAACGAGGGTCCATACTCATCAACTCCTGCGACCAGCAGCGCCACACCGAAGGGGCGAGACCTGTCAAGGAGATGAGCCAGGCAAGGGATGGGAAAGAACCAAGTATCACATTGGCGCCCCTTCTTCACCGAACTGAAGAGCATAATCACAGATCGCTTGTGTACAAGACTCCACAGTCATGGGCTCATCATAGGTAAACCTATGATTCTGTGTCTCCACCCGCGCCTTGTCAACTAGTGTTCGAGCATCTGCAGTGAGGCCAGACATGGCACATCCGATGTGACTATCAAGCTCCATGATCTTCTCTATGCTGGTGGGGTCAAGCAGAGGAGAAGTCACACGCTTCTCCACGGCCAGCACGACTCCTTCGGATGTCTGAATGCCGATGGCCGTAGATCCCAACTGCAGGGCTTTCATCAGACGGAGAGGGGGGAAGTGAGGGACAACCTTGATGGCCTCGATCGCATACTCCACCTGGAACAAACGGCCCTCCGGCGAAAATGTGTTCACTCCACGATCATACTCACTCCTGGCACGGTGGCCGTCAGATCAAGATTGTGTGTTCCTCGATTGCATTCCCTATGTACCATCAATGTATAATCCATCTATGTTCATCCAGTACAAACAAAAATCACGGTCTGATATTCTTCTCACTGTACACTCTCACCCCATCTCATCGCAAGCTTATCATGACACACAAACCCTTCCTCAAAGCGCACATCGAGCTCTATTCATGTCAAATCACATCGACACATGAGCATGAATGTTTTCGCCCTGCATCAGCTTTCTTCTACACACGGCTTCCAAAATCTTTGCGAGGTTATTCCTCGAGCATCATCCTCACATGATAAAACTTAAATTTTTCGACACGACAGCAATAAATGTCAGCTCCACAACTGACATGAAAATTCTCGCCGTCCTTTCGCATAGAGGGTAAAACAAGCACTTTCATATCATTCACAACCATGCTCATCGGCATGCACCTTGAACCCAACTTTCTTCATTTTTCCTCAACTCTAATCTTCGCACCAACCAGTCGGATTCTTCCCCTTTCCTCTCTTTCCTCTCTCTCCCCCAGCGACTGTCCTCTCCTTCTCCTTTCCTCCTCTCTTCTCATCTCTCCCTCTCTCCCCTTTCCCTTCCTTCCCATCCTTCTCCTCCCCCCCCCACCCCCGCCATTTACCCTCAAGTTTCCCTTCCTTACCTCGTCAAGAACATGGCGCGCTGTTGACCTGTCCTTTTCCGTTACAGTGTCTACTCGACGGTTATTTGATTAACGTTACATATCGTTACTTTCTTCACATGGGAAAGAGGGGATGAGGGGAGGGATGAGGGCGGGGATGAGGGGAGGGATCGGATGTGGGACGGAATGAAGTAAAGGAAGTCAATGGGTGGGTGGGGTGGGTTAATTCCCGGGATCAAGCTCTGGGAGGGTGGGATGATCAGGGGGTATGGACTTCTAAGAGGAGGGTGGTGGTGGAAGGAGAGGTGGTACATTCAGAGGGTGATGGTTTCTTGTGGGGTACGGTAGGACAAAAGAAGTTGGGTATCAAGTTGAAGGGGTGGAGAGTATGATGATAGCGAGTAGTGGACCGTGGGTGGGGTGACTGTTCCTTGGGGAGAGATCATGATTTTGGGGGTTGGGTAGTCATTAGTATGGGTGGGGTGTAAGTAATAAGGGGTACGCAACAACTGGTGGGTGGTATAACCCCTTTGCTCGTTGTTCCATGGGCAGACAACATACAAGATTGAGAGGGTACACAATCTAGTAGGGGTGAGGGCAGCATTCATCTTCAATGTACCCGTAAAATATGTGTGCAATAAACCGGTATTTTGATACCAAAATGATCCACAACGGGTAGTAGATTGATGTGGTTGTGAAGGGTAGGTACAATCGGCACCGGGGTAGTGAGGTGAAAGGTCAGTAATCCGAAGGGTGGGGTACAATGGCGATGGAGGGGTGGGGTAGTATTTGAGTTCACATGTGGAGGGGAAGAAGGTGTTAGAGCAATGAAAAAAGAGGAAAAAAGAAGAAAAAAACTTAAACAAGGAAGAGAGAGAGTGAGAGAGAGTGAGAGAGAGTTGGAGAGTAAGAGAGAGTGATAAAGAGAGAGAGAGAGAGAATGTGTGTGTGATAGGAAGTCAGAGAGGGAGGGAGGGAGGGAGGTGGGGAGGGAGGGAAGGAGGGAGGGAGGGAGGGAGGGAGGGAGGGAGGGAGGGAGGGGGGGGGGAGGGGGGACGCTGGAAGATGAAGTTGAGCCTTGTGACGACAAGTTACACAGCTCATGATGGAAGCAAGAAACAATTAGAAGATAGACGCCAAGAATAGAATACCACAGAATAGAAGCAAGCTTGGAGTCGTTCTGACCACCGTTGCCTCTTTCAGCCCCGTGACGATGAGGTGAGATGATTTAAACAAGTGGTATACCAAGACATGGACAAGATAGAGGTCAACTCTAACCAGGCTCCGGCCTTGAGGAGAAGCAATAGCGGGATGGAGGGTCAGCCGCAAGGGAACGGACACGGGGACAGGCACGTTCATAGCATGGACATCCCACGGAGTCGAAACATCCAGAGGATTGTGCACCACACATCCTTCCATGAGGGAGCAAGGGAAGAAGAATTCGGACGAGCCGCGTCCCTGGACGTCAACACCGACGTCTTGAGGTCCCATAGTCTCGCTCGCCATAGCCACACGGACCCCGGCGACGATGGACATTTCAGCAAGCGGCCTGACCGCTTGTCTTTCCGCAAGTCCATGAGGTTTTGATTGGGATGACCTCTTGGTGACTGAGACGTTGCCGCAGCCTGCAGAATCCTTTCCTGAAGAGACAAACCCTGAGGAGGGAAAACACTTCCCTGTCCTGCTACGAGACTGTGCTGAAGAAAGTGCGAGTGGTAGGGATGGTAAAGGGAGCTCTGAGATGTTGTGCAGGAGGACACAGCTCTTCTTGCCGAGGGCGTGGCGTCAGGCTGCAGTCAAGGCCAGACAAGTGCCATAACCAATGACAAGGTTGGACATGCGACGAGAGGAAACGCTATGGTTGCGAGGAAGTTGTCGTTGATGATGATGATGATGATGATGATGATGATGATAATGAGGAGGAGGAGGAGGAGGAGGAGAATTATGATGATGGAGGTCATGATAACAATAAGGCGCATGAGATGATCGTGATGATTTCAAGTCTCAAGATTGTGATGGCGACATTTCTCATGCATTTCACAGGAGTTGCAAGAATTCCGAGAAAGCCTTCAGAAACTCACTGACCCTGAATTGAATGCCTTCCAAAGATTCTTGCAGACTGGAGCAGTCCCGCTACACCCGAATTCATTTGCTCGCATGTAACAAATTTGTTACTTATTTTGTTTTGGATGTGAACGTGTTTTGCAGGAGTTGGGATGGATTTATGTTCATCATAACAGCTTATGCGCTGATCTCTGATCCTGTCAGCATCGCTTTCACAAACGACACATCTCCGTCATCTTTCCTCAATGTGACTGACCGTATTGTCACTGTGTTCTTCATGCTCGATATCATCTTGAATTTCTTGACTGGCTACATCGACAAGAAGGAGCAAAGGGTGATCATGCACTACCGGCCTGTCGCTTACTTCTACGCCAAAGGATGGCTTATACTGGACCTCGTATCGTCACTTCCTCCCGAAGCCTTCACGGGTTTCACCGAGAACTCGATGGTGAAGGGAGCGCGGGTCTCCAAGATCCTTCGCTGCTTCAAAATCTCGAGGCTCGCGCGGATCGTCCAAGTGCTGCAGCTCAACCTGGACGTTCGACTTTCTCACTTCATGTGGAAGATCATCGTCTGGATCTCCTGCTGCTTCATCTGGCTCCACTGGACTACTTGTGCTGAGTGCTGGGTGTGGACGAGTGTGAACAGCGACTATCGCATCATCGACCTGCCCACAGGAGGCAACGCGTTGGGAGGAGACCCCTCCTGCATGGCATCGACAACTTGCACAGCCAGGTATTACCTGCGAGGCTTGAGGACGGCAGTTGCGTTCATGTGCGGTCACGATCAAGCGACGGGCTCGACGTACCCGGAGGACATTCTGGCGGTGATCTGCTCCTTGTCCGGCTCGGTCCTTTACTCGTCCTTCATCGCTGTCTGCATTAGCCTCCTCATGGAGATGGACGCGGAGAGGGTGCGGTACATGGGGCAGGTGGAAAGGCTCAACCACTACATGGGAAGGCGCAAGGTGCCGCTGGAGCTGCGGCAGCGGGTGAGGGAGTACATGGAGATGCGGTGGATGACAAACGGAGGGTCGGACGAGAAGGAGGTGCTCGAGTACGTCTCGAGAAGCCTCCGCCGCGAGCTCACCATGCACAACGCGGAGAAGCTGGTGCGAGGTGTTCCTTTCCTCAACACGGGAGCCAAGGGCTTCGTCTTCAGCGTTGTTCAGGTGCTCAAGCCCGAGACGTTCTTGCAGGGTGACGACATCATGATCTCGGGAGAGATCGGGCAGGAGATGTTCCTCCTCGAGAAGGGCATCCTCAACGTCATCGCTCCTGACGGAGTCACAGTCCTGGAGAGCCTCAGCCCCGGCGCATGGTTCGGTGAGATCGCCCTGCAGCACCGCACTATCCGCACGACGACCATCCGAGCTCAGACCGACGGGACCCTCTACGTGCTGGAGCGAGAGGACTACGCGCGGCTGCTCCCCTTCTTCCCAGAGATGGAGGAAGAGCTTCGGCTGTCAACCACCAAGATACTGGAGCATGCGAGGATAAGCATGGACATGCACTCTCCCGGCTCCAGCATGTTCGACATGCGCCAACGCGTATCGCCTCTCAACGAGTATCTGCCGCCGAGCCCTCCTCTCACTCCTACGGCCAAGTGAGCTCCGTCCTCCCTCCCCCGCTGATGTTGCTGACTTGCATATGCAGAAGCAAGAATCTTGATCCTCTCAAGAACGACGAGGTGTTGATGCCTATTCCTCCTCTCCTTTCTCATCACCTCCTTTGCAGGATTTCAATCGGAACGAACTCATCCGCGTGAAGAGATCTGTAAGTTGCAAAGGAGGACGAGGAGGAGGGGCTTAAGAAATCGTCCAGTTCTCGGCTGGAGACGATCGACTGCGGCTGCCGAGCATCATCTACGAGGAGGATGTTCATGTCGGGTAAGCAGAGCACGGGGAGTGATGGGGAGAGGGGAGGGAAGGAAGGAGGTGGAGGGAAAGGGGAGAAGTGGGCGAAAGCTGACGGTCTGTGCAGGGAAAGAGGAGAAACGATTCAGCGGGAGTCGACGGAAACGCGCAGAGTCGTAGATGAGTGGGGTGGAGGAGGAGACTGATCTTTGCACAGGAGCTGGAAATTGCTTTCAACGGATCGCTTGTGGAGAAAGGAGGCATTAGATGACGCTCCTGCACATGGTCTGGGCTACTAGGTGGTGTGTGGACAATCATCTCTATCAGAGGAGGACGAGGAGAAGGGAGGAAAAGTTTCAAGATGCTTTAAAGGTTCAATCACGTCAACATGTATCGATCTTCCTCTTCTCCCTACCTCACGCCTGCGGTTGAGCTGCAGCTGCTTGACTTCCCTGCGCTTCTCCACCTGTTTGTCCAGCAGGGGCCTGTCCCTCCTGGCCTCCCTGACCTTCACCAGCCGCTTGTCCCTCGGCTGTGCCATGCCCGTAGTAGTTGTAGTACTGGGCATAGGCGTTGGGGTCGTAGCCGTAAGCTCCATAGTAGGCGTTGGGGTCGTAGCCCTGTTGGAGGGATCAGGCGATAGGGGGAAGAGACAGCAGCTTACCGGGTATCCGTAGTAGCCTGCAGCTGGAGGGACTTGACCTGGGTATCCTTGTGCTGCCTCTGGGCCAGGAGGCATGACCGGAGGCGTCCAGGAGGTAGTCTTGTCGTTGTGGTTGATGTAGTACACCCTTCCGCTCGGATCAAACGCCTGCTCCCACCCTGGAGGGAGCGGAGGCTTTGGGATCATGGAGTTGAAGTTGTTCCTCTCCTGCGATTTCTTATACTTCTCGTAATCTGCTTTGACAGTCCCGACGAGGTCTTCTACCAGACGAACAGCTTCCTCCACCTGAGACTCCACCCGAGACGAGATCTCTATGTGCAGAGGAAGATCAGCTCCTGGTACCCCCGGCAGCTGTCGAGAGCCTTTCCCACGCAGGTCAACCCGAGCGCCAGAGATCGTGTTGATGTGCTTCAGGTATGAGCCTTTGGGTCCAAGAATCTTTCCGATGACGCTGAAAGTAGGAGGAGCATCTTCCAGTCCAACAAAGACCTTTTTCACGGCAAACCCATCTGCCACTTGCTTCGAAAGCGCTCTCGGGTCCGGCAGCGGCGTATCGTTCATAATCTCCCGGATCAAATCTACAGCCTTGTCGACTTGTCGCGCGTCAAACGCTGATACCTCCAACGAGAGAGGGATTTCATCGCCATCCTTTCGTTGCGCCAGTTCCTCAGGCGAGTAGAACTTTCCCTTGGTGACGACTGCTGCTCCACTCTTGGCAGTCACTTCCTTCTGCCATGTGCCTCGAGTAAGAATGTTCCTTTGCGAGGCTGGTGATCCATTGATCTCTACAACTTTGACAGTTGTCTTGAAACCCCCAGCAAGTTGCGCTGCCGCCGCCGCCGCCACCGCCGCCGCTTGCAACGCTGCCGGTGTTGTCGCAGGTCCTCCAGGAGGCAAGGGAGGAACCGGTTGACCCGCGAGAGCGGCATTGATCCTCGCCTGCATTGAAAGGGTCAAGCAATGACAAGGCGACAAACCCACAGACAAGAGCTAGGAAACGTCAGATCAGAAGAAGTCAAGCAAGACAAGGATCACAGCTCCCAGTCAAGGAAGGTAACAGCGTGAGGGTGATACAGAGAAGGTTCTCTTGGTTTCATCATCTTACCGCTGCATCTTGAGCTGACGCTGCGGTTCCTAACGAACCTGCACCAGCGGAGGCCCCGCCGCCATTACCTAGTGACGAGAAATATACAAATCACCCAAACCTACCAAAGCTGCATTGCTAACGCCAAGCCAGCAGCAAACACTAAAACAACGATCACAAACCAACTGTTTGATGACTCGTCTGAAGGCATTACCAGCTGCAGCTCCTTCCATTTCTGTTGGTGCAGCATCCCATCTCCTCCTCTTCCTACAATCCACTACGATCACTAACAGTAAAACATATGCAAATCGCTCATCTCAAGAGCATCATAATCTCGACTTCGCAGCATCATGCAAGCAACAAGACCAAATTCATCACTCCCTTCATCTTATGTGAGATATCAGGGCTTCGAACGGGTCATCCATTTTTACATGCATTGACAACTCAAATCCTCAGCATAAGTCGCAATCGATCGACAGACTGGCAGATTGCATAGAGAAGAATGTAGGAAAGCAGAGTGAGCAAGCAAGCAAACATTGAAAGACCAGGTAACGTTCAAGCAATCTTGTCAGGAAGAAGAGAAAAAGTCGAGGAGGATAAGATGGACGGAGGAGGCGGGAGGAGTAGGGAGGAGTAGGGAGGAGGAGCGAGGAGGAGTGAGGAGCGAGGAGGGCGGAGGGGGGAGGGGGAGGGGGAGGGGAGGAGGAGGGGGGGGCTAGCTTCCTGGGCTGATCTCCGTCCGACATGCCGCCGCGGCTTCAGGAAGGAAAGAGGAGATGTGGACTTGGAGTGAGGAGGGGTCGTCGAATGGGGAGGGTGGGGGGTGCATGGAAATGAAACACGTGGGGTAGGGGTAAGTATTCTTAGTGGGTAGGGTACAAGTATAGGGGTACAATTTACGTCAATAGTACGGGTACGTTAGATCAATTCTGCATGGTACCTTGGGGTGTATGCAAAGCGAGAGAGGTGACATCCCAAAGGGAATATAATGACCCCTCCATTTCCTTACCCCACCCCATCATCGTCCTTTCCTTCAAAGGACCCCACCCCAACCCAAGTGTCTCGGATTGGAGGACAGGTCATCACTTGGGCAACCACCCCACCCCTAGATTTAAGTCACCACCCCACTATTCGGCGTAGTGAGATTTTGTACTCTCTACCCCCTCCTCCTACCATAGAACTACCCCGTCATCCTGTCATCTCCTCGTGGACTTATAACACCACCTACCCCTCATTCGATATTTTTTTACCCCTACCCCAGCTTATATATAAAAGTACCCACCACATGAATATACCAGATACCACCCCCACCCTAGATCGACCAATTTGAAATTCATCACCAGGCCGCCGGGTCAGAAAGTCCGGCAACTCGCCCTGAACTCAGAAAATTCTCTGGGCTGATGAGGGGACGAGGGACGCAGTTCAACGGCTCTATGGCGGAGGAGCCTGCGGGACGGTAAGATGGAGGAGAGGGGAGGAGAGGGGAGGAGAGTAGAGGGAAGGGGAGGAGAGGGGAGGAGAGTAGAGGGGAGGAGAGGGGAGGGGAGGAGAGGGGAAGAGAGGGAGAGGGGAGGGAGAGGGGAAGATTGTGGAAGGGATGGAGGGGCGATGAAGAGAGTCAGAGGAGGGGAAAGTGGAGAGGCGAAATGAAAACCAGAATGGAAGGAGACAAAAGCAGGATTGGAAGAAGTGAATTGATGAGGACGAGTTGAGCGAGGGAGGAGGGGTTGAAGCGTGACTTGCATGGCCTAGTTGGTTCGCTCTGTGCGACAAAGATGGGACGGGGAAGGTTCTTCAGCTCAGAACTGTCAAGGCGCAGCAGAAACTTGCAGAAGCAGCAGGAGCTAGGAAGATTTTCGACGAGAGCGGTAGGCTCTTGTTTCTTGAGCTTCCTGTGCTTTACCTCTCCTCTTCCTCTGCTCTTCTCTGTCTTGTTCCCTCCTCTGGTCTGGCAACATGTCAAGCATATATCTACAGCTATCAAGCCCGGCGCCATGACTGACCGGGACACATTCGTGATGAGCGTGCTTGAGCTGGCGGAGTCGAGCGGGAAGGAGGTTGCGGTGGCTGCGGCCCTTGAAGAGATGATCGCCGATATTGAGGTGCCAAGAAGTCCGGGGAGGAGGGGGAGGAGGGGGAGGGAGTATGAGAAGGAGCAGGGGGGGAAGGGAGAGAGGAAGGGGGTAAGGAGATGGTAAAGAGATGGAGGCTTGCTTCTTATCTTTGACTTGAAGATGTACGGTCTTCCTCCTTGCGAGTCTGGAGATCCTGTGCGAGACATGGAAGAATACAGAAGGTCATCCCTCCTCTCCCTTCCTTTCCTCCTTATCCTCCTCCTCCTCCTCCCAATCCTCCCTCGCCTCCTCCTCGCCTCCTCCTCCTCCTCCTCCTCCTCTCCTCTCCTCCTCCTCCTCCTCCTCCTCCTCCTCTCCTCCTCCCAATCCTCCCTCGCCTCCTCCTCTCCTCCTCCTCCTCCTCTCCTCCTCTCCTCCTCCTCCTCTCCTCCTCCTTCTCCTCCCTCTCCCCTATTCTCTGTCTCCTCCTCCTCCTCCTCCTCCTCCTCCTCCCTCGTTCTTTTCCTACTTTGCTTTCTCCTGTCATGAATATTTCCTGCAGGTATCATGGTCTGGATCGCGTTTTCGGGTTCCTTCTCCAATCTCTCATCATGCATGAGCCCAATGATCCGGTTCTTCTCTACCTCTGCTTCTATTTCTCCTGCCACTCCTCCCTCTCCTCCTCTCCCTTGTCCCTCGTCGTCTCGGCCCTCCTCTCCTTGTTCCTTGTTCCTTGTTCCTTGTTCCTCTCTCCCCCTCTCTCGACCTCACCGCGAAGTTGCGCCGCAGGTTCAGCACATGCAAGAGCGAGTGAATGAGCTTTCAGAATTTGTGCGGCTGCGTCGAGACATCGGCGACCAGCCGTACCACGGGCATGAGGCGATCAAGAAGAGCGCGTAAGAGGAGAGCGCGAGAGCAGCACCATGCATGGATGTGTGTACATATGTCGAGGAGCAAGGAGAGGACGGAGGAGGAGGAGAAAAGAGGAGGAGAGGGAGGAGCGAGCAACTGACAGACATTTAATAAGAAAAGTTTCAGCGAGAGGACGAGGGCTTCTTCCTCCTCGGCACTTCGCCCTTCCGCCCCGTCCTCGTGGGCTTGAAAACGTCACTGTCAGTTACACTTGGAGAAGTGAGGAAGAGAAGGGGAGCAATAGAAACAAGGAAAGAGGAGGGAGGGCGGCCGGTTTCAAGGGAAGGAAGAGGAGGAGGTGGTGGCGGGGGGATGGGAGGGAAGGGGGATGAGGGGGTCTCGTGGGTCACCGTTTGCGGCTTCTGTACAGCTTGATCTTCAGCTACAGGATCCAACTCGAGCACCTGCAGAGGATGAGACGAGATCCAAAAGAGGAGGAAGGAGCAGCGAGAGGAAGAGGGGAGCGAGAGGAGGAGGAGGAGAAGCGAGAGGAGGAGGGGAGCGAGAGGAGGAGGAGGAGAAGCGAGAGGAGGAGGAGAAGCGAGAGGAGGAGGAAAGGGAGGGCGGATTGTACCCTCGTATAGTCTGCGATAGCATGGTCGAAATCTCCCAGTGAGTCCAACGCATTGCCACCTGAGTGACACGTTAGCAACGCACTCTATCCTCCCCCCCCCCCTCCTCCTCCTGCTCCTGCTCCCCTTCTATAGCGCCTTCCCTCTCCCGCTCCAGAACTCCCTTCCCCTTGCTCTTGCTCCTCCTCCTCTCTCACGATTGTAGAGTGCATTCGTGTTGCCAGGATCGAGACGAACAGCCTCGGTAAGATCAGCGACGGCCTGCAGGGGAGCTAAGACAGAGGAAGGGAGAGGAGGAAGCAGATGAGAAGATAACCAGAAAATATGCGGGAGCAGCGGAAGTAGGAACATGGAGGGGAAGGCAGGGAAGAAAATTAGAGCGGGGGCGCTTAGAGGAGGCGATGAAAGGAAGAGGAGCAGGAGGAGGAGGGGGGGGGGGGGCGAGAGACCTGGTCGTATTGTCCGAGCTTATCGTAGGAGATTCCTCGGTTGTGGTAGGCGTGATTGTTGGAAGGGTCCAACCGAAGGACCTCCGAGTAGTCCAGCACCGCAAGGTCGTACCTCCTGCCACCCCGTCACCCACCACCCCTCCAGCTGTAATCCAACTGACCCGAGCTTGGCGTAGCAGTACCCTCGGTTGTTGTAGCTCTTGACATTGTCGGGCTGCAGCTGGAGGCTGCGGGTATAGTCTTCGATGGCCTCGACGTACCTCCCGAGTTTGCGCATGGCGTATCCTCTGTTGGTGAAGGCCGTCGCGTTGTCAGGGTTCAGCTCAATCGCTCGCGAGTAGTCGAGGGCTGCGAGGGAGAAGTTGTTCTTGTTGCGGTGGCAGTACCCGCGGTTGTGGAAGTAGACCGCGTTGTCTCCCTCCTCCTGCAGCGCCGCCGTGAAGTCCTCGATCGCCTTGTCCAGCATCCCCAGCTTGTCGTAGACCAGACCCCGCGAGTTGTAGGAGGAGGCGTTGTGCGGGTCGATGGCGATGGCCCGCGAGAAGTCGGCGATCGCTTCCTCGTCTCTTCCCAGCTTCTCCAGCGCCGACCCGCGGTTGTGATACGCGTTCGCGTTGTCGGCCTCCAGCTGCAGGGCGCTCGTGTAGTCTTCGACGGCCTCGGAGTACTTTCCCAGCTTGTCAAGAGCAAAGGCCCTGTTGTAGTAGGCCTTGAAGTGCCGGCTGTTCAGCTCGAGAGCTGCTGTGTAGTCGCGCGTCGCATCCGCGTACTTGCCTAGTTTGCGATTAGAGAAGCCTCGGTTGTGGTAAAAGTCCGCGTTGCTGGGCTCCAGCCGGATGGCCTCGGAGAAGTTCTCGATGGCGGCGGCAAAGTCGCCCATACGATCGTAGCTGATGCCGCGGTTGTAGTAGGCGTAGGCGTTGGTCGGGTCGACGTCCAGCGCCCGCGAGTAGTCGCGGATCGCGAGCTCGTACAGCCCGAGCTTGTCGTGCGAGAACCCTCGGTTGAAGAGAGCCTTGAAGTGCCGCCCGTCCTTCTCGATCGCTATCGTGTAGCACTCTATCGCCTTTCTGAACTCTCCCAGCTTCCTGTGTGCGTATCCCTTGCTGTGGTAGTAGTCCGCTGAGTGGCTGTTGTTGATCAGCGACCGAAGCCCCTCCTCCTGCTCGCCGTCCCGGCGTGAGGGCGTTTGAGGCTCGAGCTGGTCGGGGATGACAGGGCTGTTGAGGGAACCGCTGCCTCCCTGCTGCCTTCTGCTCTTGTTGCGCATCAGCGCCGACGCGTCCGGCATGGCTTGACGCACAGCAGCTCGCACGTGCTCTTTGAGGATCCCGTCGATACCTGACTGCAGCGCTTCCACCCCGTCCTTGCTGCTCCGAGCCGACGCGAGCAATCCTCCTCCTCCTCCTCCTCCTCCTCCTCCCCCTCCTCCGTTCTCTCGGCTCTCGTACGCGTCCCCGGCATTCAACGGCGACTGGCTAAAAATGCTGCGAGCGCTGAAGCTTTCCTTGGACATTCTCACTTCGCGAGCAGCCCGAATGGAGCCCTGGCGGGAGAGAGGGCTGGAGGAGCGCTTGGAGGAGTTGACGGGAGACAGGCAGTTGTCTCCCTCCAAGGTCGCCTGCTTGTGCGAGGGGGACGACGGCAGCCCCTGGTCCCTAGCGAGCGCGAGCGTGTAGTCCTGAATGGCATCGTCAAAGTTCCCAAGCTTGTTCTGACATGCTCCCCGCGCGTATGCCGCAGCTGCAAACCCCGGGTCCAGCTGGAGGACAGCTGAGAAGTCATCGATGGCGAGCTGGAGCTCTCCCGACTTCTCGTACGCGCATCCTCTGTTGTAGAGGGCGACCACATCGTGCGGTTCGAGGCGGAGGAGAGCAGAGTAGTCCAGGGCAGCTCCTTTGAATTCTCCGAGCTTCATGTAGGAGGTAGCTCGTATGCTAAGTGCCCTCCTGTTCTCCGGGTTCTGCTGCAGCTTCATCGAGGATAGCTCCACCAGCTTGCTCACGTCGTCCGGCTTTCGGAAGTAATACGTTCGGTTCGGATGCGACTTGGCTGCTTCCTCCTTGTCCAGGAACTCGCTCCTCTTGTACAGGGCACCTTCCAGCAGCAGCTCCTCGTCCTCGTCCGACATGTCCAACGCGCTGTTGTCTGTGTTCCTCTCCTTGCCGCTCATGGGGATCGAGACCGTCAGCTCCTTCTGGTTGTTGTTTCGCATCCTCTCAACACCCCACCCGTCACAGTCAAGTTCCTTGCTACCTTACACCCCCCTGACCTCCCATCCTCTACCCCTCGTTTCGAGGCAAACGCACTTGTCCTTGTTCCTACTCAGCTGGATGGCCGTGGTCAACTCCCGCTCAGCTCCTCCTCCTTGTGCTTTCAGGCGATGCTGTCATGACCCCAGGCTCTATCATGCTCATATGCTTGTATGCCTCACCATGTGAGCGCAATCGCTGCTGGTTGCATGGGAATCCTGCTGCTGAGATCCTCCTCCTCCGCCACCACCACCACCACCACCACCTCCTCCTCCTCCTCCTCCTCCTCCTCCTCCTCCTCCTACTTCTACTCTCCTCCTACTTCTCCTACTCCTCTGGTTTCAGTTGTTGCAGCTGTTCTAACTTCTTTCGTGTTTATCCCAGGTGAATGTATGCGGTACCGAACTTGTGAAATTATCTCAGATATGCTATCTCCTTCTATG